TTCTCTATCCATTCCTTTGTTGATGGGCACTTAGGTTGTTTCCAGCTCTTTGCTATTGTGAACAAAGCTGCAGTAAATATGGGTGAGCATATATCTGCATGGGTGGCGGTTCTGTTTTCTTTAGGGTATATCACCAGTAGTGGAATTGCTGGGTCAAATGGTATTTCTATTTCCAACTTTTTGAGAAAACCCCATACTGCCTTCCATAGTGGTTGCACCAAAATAATGAATACTTAAAAAAAAAAAAAGTCATGGTGTGGTTTCTCATTAGGTGCCATCAAGTAGAGTACAACCTTACTGGCCCTATAAACAACATCCCAATCATGTGCCATCCTCATAATTTCTGACATACATAAGTCCACTGTTGCAGTCACTGTTATCAATCCATCTGGTTGAAGGTCTTCCTTTCTTTCACCAACCCTCCACCTTTCCAAGCATAAAGTCCTTTTCCAATGACTAGCCTATCCTAACATGTCCAAAGTATGTGAGACAAAGCTTTGTCGTCTTTGCCTCCAAGGAGCATTCTGGCTGTACTTTCTCCAAAGCTTATCTATTTATTCTTTGGCAGTCCACAGAATATTCAGTATTCTCCAACATCACAACTCAAAGATATCAATTCTGTCATCTTTCTTCACTGTCCAGTTTTCAAATGCATCGCAAGTTATTGAAAAAACCATGGTCTGAATCAGATGCACCTTAGTTGTCAAACTGTTATCATTGCTCCACAGTAATTTGAAGAAGTTCCTGACTGCAGACTTTCCCAATGCAGTGTGTCTCCTGATCTCTTGGATGCTAGTATCACACGTGTTGATTGTGGATCCAAGCAAGATGAAGTAGATGACAAGGTCAGTATTTTCTCCATCAAACATGATGTTGCCATGATGGTCTAGTGGTGATGACTTTTGTTTTCCTGACATTGAGATGTAATACATAATGAAGAGTATAGTCTTGGTTATTCTGCAGCAAGAACTTCAAGCCCTTCTCAGTTTCAACAAGCAAGGTTGTGGTATCTGCATAATACAGGTTTTTGATGAGTATTCCTACAATCCTGATGCCATATTCTTCATAGAGTACATCTCAAATGATTTGCTCAGCAAACAGACTGAATAAGTATGGAGAATAAATAAAACCCTGATGCACATCTTCCTTAATTTTAAATCATGCATTGTTCTTGCTCTATTCAGACAAAGCTTCTTGGTCTAAGTATAGGTTTCACTTGAACATAATTAAGTGTTCTGGGATTTCCATTCCTCTCAATGTTATAGTTTATTATGATACAATAAAATCAAATTGCCTTTGTATACTCAATTAAAAAAATAGATATTCCAATATTCTCTGCTTTTAGTTAGTATCCATCTGACATCAGCAATGATATCATTGGTCCCACGGCCTCTTCTAAACTCGGCTTGAACTAGCAGTTCTTTGTCTATACTGTTCTAGCTGTTTTTTATGATCTTCAGCAATATTTTTACATTGTAGTTGTTGTTATTGTTGTGGTGGTGGTTGCTGTTGTTAGGTGCTGTCGAGTACAATTCATAGTGACCCTTTGAACAAAAGATCTGAACCCTGTTCTATCCTATGCCATCCTCACACCTGATACACAAGAGCCTATTGTAGCAATCACCATGTTAATCCAACTGGTTGAGGGTTCCTCTTTGCCGACCCTTTACCTTTTTCAGTGTCATGTCCTTCTCTAAGAAATAGCATCTCCTAGCAACATCCCTATAGTATGTGAAGCGAAGCCTCATCATTCTTGCCTCCAAAGAGCACTCCAGCTGTACCCTCTCCAAGACATACCCGTTTGTTCTCTTGGCTGTCTATGGAATGTTTAGTGCTCTTCTCTAACACCACAGCTCAAAGGCAATTCTTTCTCTTTCATCCTTATTCATCACCCAGCTCTCAAATGTATAGCAAGTGATCGGAAAGACCATGGCCTGACTCAGATGCACCTTAGTCCTCAAACTGACATCACTACCTACACAATAATTTGGAGAGGTCCCCAACTGCAGATTTTCCCAGTGCAAGACATCTCCTTATTTCCTGACTGCTGGTACCAAGGGTGTCAATTGTGGATCCAAGCAAGATGAATCTGTTGAAGTTTCAATCTTTTCTCCATCCATCATGATGCTGCCTAGCAATCCAGTGGTAAGAATCTGTTTTTTGATGTTGAGATGCAGTCCATGCC